CAGTGGGCCGTCCAGTCTGGCGGCCGGGTCTTATCTCCCTGTCCCAGTGAGCTCATCGGCCAGATCAGCTGTTGTGGCCGTCTTGTCGCGAACGTGGACGTGGATCGACAGAACCGGGAAGGGTGGATGGCGTTATTCTCGACCACCGTCTCTGTGCTCTTGAACTTTAACCCTCGCCCTCCCCCCCCCCCCCCCCCCCCGGCTGCCTGTCGCCGCGGCCGGCGTTGGCCGAGCTGTTTGGCCGTCGGCTGCACGGGCTGGATTAAAGTTAAGCCGCGCCGAACGGACTCCGCGCCTTTGAACGGAGCTGCGGCGCGAGAGCGGATGCTTTACGCCGCACTGCTGGGGAGGCTGCAGGGGCGGGCCGGCTGGGCGCGGGCCGGCCGCCGCCGCGCGCGCCGCCGGGACAGCCAGGTGGCGCCCGCCGGCAGCCGTGCCTCGGGGCGGACAGGTGGGAGCGGCGGGGGGGGGGGAGGGGGCAGCACCACCTGGTGCCCGCGGTCGTTCCGACCAGCTGACTGGCGGCTGGGGCATCGACCATCCGACCGGCTTCCGCGACCGGCCCCTCCCACAGCCAGCTGCCGTGCGGGTAGCGGTCGGCCGCCACATCGCGGTCCGTCACCGCACCGGAGACTGTGGGACCGACCGCAGGAGACCGCCGCTCGGCCGCGGCCAGAGATAACGACCGACCGAGCCGACCGGCGGGCCCGAGCCCGGACCCGGGCTCGGACCGACCGGCGGGCGGGCGCCGCACCGTCCTCGGCCGGCGCCGGTTCCCAGGCTGGTCGGCGATTGTCGAGCGCCGGCCGCGCCGTTTTACGGCCGGGCGGATGGCCCGCGCGCCGCGCATTGTCGCCGAGCGTTGGGCCGCGCCGCTGTCCTTGGCTGGACGGGACGCGCGCGCGGCCGCGCGATGACGCGGCGCCTGTCGCGTTCGAGCCCCGGTGCAGTCGGGCGTGGTGACGCCGCCGGCCGATTGGCTCCGGCCAGCCCGGCCGGCACGGCGCCGTTCCGGTCGCCCCGGAGTGTTGAACCCTTTTGGCCGGGCCGGTATGCCGGCGGACCGGTGCAGACAATAGCGGCCACGTGAGCTGACGCCCACACGGCTGCTGCGGACTAGTGACAGTCCTTATCGCCCTTGGCGTGGCTCCGCTCTCGGGTCTCCAGCCGGCGCCGCCAGCTCAGGTCCTGCTGGCCGGCCGGGCGTACAGCGCTTACGCTGGTGCGCGTCGGCGGCCCGGTTCCCGGTAACGAGGTCGTAGGCGGGGGCGCACTCGCGCCGTACCGCCGTGCGGGGTCCGGTGTGGCGCAACTCGGTCCTTCCGCCGCTTGCCGGCCGGCCGGAGGACGCTATCTGGTCGGGTCACGCCACCGGCCGATAGCGTATCACGTGGCGCGGCGCTGGACAGCGGCGCCGTCGGTCCGTTATCTGGGACGGCAGATGGCTGCGGCTCGATCGCCACCTGTTCTCGGCGGCTCCCGTGCGGCCGCCGGCCTCCGGCGCCCGTGCTGGCGGTCGCTGCCGCCAGCCCCGGTCGTCGCCGGATCCATCACCGGCACTGTCGCTGCGGCGCTGTACGCCACATTCCTCGTTTGTTGGCGGGAGCGGGGGCGGCGGCCGGGCCGACCCGGACCGCGCCGGTCCGGCCGGTCCCGAGCCGGGCGGCGTCGCGGCCACGCTCGCGCTCACGGAATGCTTTGAAGTGCCGGCCGCCGCTTTTGTTGCCGCCGCGTCGCCGACCGGCTCCGCGGCAGTAATGGGGTGCTTATCTGTTGCCCTGTTTCTGAGGCTCGTTCGTCGTGTTCGAGCGCACTTCGGGTGCGGGCGGTGGTCTCTGTGAGCGGGAGTGCTCCCACCGTTCTCGGCCCGGGCCGTCGGCAGCCGCGGCCGACGGGACCAGCCCTTAGCTGTCCCCTCCCCCCCCCCCCCGTCGCCTTCGTGGCGGCGGCTGGCGTGTTCCCGGTGACCCGTGGGACCCACGCTGGCCTCGGCGGCCATCGGATCGGTATCGACCGGCCGTGCTGCCTCCGCTCCGCGGCCACCGCCCCCGACACGGCAGCGGCGGCGGAAGCGGGCGACACCCCTCAGGGGATCCCCGCTCGGCGCGAGCGTGTGGCTGCGGTCCCGACAGGTCTCGGAGGCGACGCCAGGGGACCGCCGCCACCAGCTGACGGCAGGCTGCGCCGGCGGCGGTGCCTGTTCTGCGACGACGGACGTCCGCCCGGCTAGCCAGCTCGGCTCCGGCCTTGTGTCGCCGGCTGGGCCGATAGCCAGCGGACCGAAATGGCTTTCCAGTCGGGCATGTCCGGCGGGAAGTAAGCGATAATCGGCCGCTAGCACGCGACAAACACGACGCCGATGATGCCGGTCGTACTTACGGGGCGTGAGGTCGTGACATGTGATCCAGAATGATGACCCGGCGGATTCGGGTCGTTCCCCGACCCGTGCTGTTCTGCACGCCGTTTCGACGGCTTAACTGGTGAACTGGTTTTGGTCACGTCGAGCAAAACTGACCTGTCAGCTGCCGTATTGAAGGCTACTTTCTCGTCCACGTCAGCACTTGAGCGCTGGAGGGCCTGGCCGTGGACGGACGCGGTGTCGGCTCGATCGCGCAGTGTCGCAGTCGGACCACTAGCGCAGGAGGGCCCGGCCGCGGACGGACGCGGTGTCGGCTCGCTGGCGCTGTGTCGCAGTCGGACCACTAGCGCAGGAGGGCCTGGCCGCGGACGGACGCGGTGTCGGCTCGCTGGCGCTGTGTCGCAGTTGGACCACTAGCGCAGGAGGGCCCGGCCGCGGACGGACGCGGTGTAGGGTCGATCGCGCTATGTCGCAGTCGGACCACCAAGCGCCTGCTCTGCGAAACGCCACCGAAGCTCGCATCATTCACCCGCCCGTGAGCCTGCGCCGTTGGGTCGTGCCGGCTGGCGGCCGGCGTCCTACCGTCGCCCGCCGCCCGCCGCCCGCCGCCCGCCGCCCGCCGCCCGCCGCCCGGAACGACGCGGGGAGCGGGGAGGCGAGTGCACCGTCCGCCGCCGGGTGCCGCGCGCGCTGACTCCCACCGAGCGCGTGCACAAAGCGGAGCGCCACCGTACGGCCCAGTTTTTTGGGCGGGCGGCGCGCGGGCGGCGGAGGGGGCTGCTCCCCGGCCGAGCGCGTACAATGCGCCGCCCGCCGGCGCTGGCACAAAGGCGCAGCCCGCACGGCCAGCGCCACCGCCGCGGGCGAGCCGTCCGGCTTTGTGTGCCGCGCTGGTGGGTGGTCGGGCCGGCGGCGGCGGCGGCGGGTCGCACGGCACACCGTGCAGGCTGCTGGCGGGGGGACGGGCGGACGCGTGTCGGCTAGGGCGGCGGCGACGCAGCGCCACACTCGACCGTCGGCCGTCCGCCGGCGCCAGCTGCGGCGCGGCGGGGTGCGGCCCAGTCCGCGGCCGCTGCGACCCGGCCGGGCGGCTCTGGTGGACGCCGTGGCCGACCTGGGAACGACGCGGCGGCATCCATCTGTCGCCCGTGTACACAGACGTGGGAGCGGACAGACGCTCACGACCGTAGCTGGCTTCACCTGCTGCAGCGGGCGGCGCAGCGCGGCACAGGGCCGGCGCAGCGGCGGCGCGGGCCGGACGGCTCGTGCTCCGCGGACCGGTCAGACTCGCGAGGTTCTCACGCCCCCTCCCCCCTCCCCTCCCCGGCCGGGGCCGGCGCGAACCGCTGCGTGAAAGTGGCGCGGTGGACGGCAGCTGACCGGGAAGGGGCGCGGCGGACCGCAGCTGACCCGGCAGGGGCGCGGCCGACGTCGGTTCATCCCGGACCGGTCCAGGGGACGTGACGGCCGGCACCCCGCGCTTGGCCGGCGCCGGCTGACCCGGCGGGCGGTGAGACGGCCTGGGTCAGGCTCTGGTGCGGTGACCACTGCCGGGAAAACAGACCAGGCCAGTTCTGTTCAGCGTATCTAGGAACCTTTGCAGCACGTGAGTTAGTATCCGGTCCGATGCGGCGCACATGGTGCCAAGGTGGTACCACGTGGTACAAGACACCAAAAGATACCTGAACACTTGCGAGGGAGGACACAACACGAGCAATAAATGAAAGTTAAAGTCACTTATAAGCCTTAAGGAACATTGGGCGGCAGAGGATCAAGCAGTCGGCGCGCCCGAAAGCCCTGATCAGCAGCATCATCGAAAGGAGCACAGGAAGGAAGACAGGCTCAAAGCTCTGACATTAATCTGCATGACCGAGCCCGCTGGCCCATTAGCCGTGTGTTCGAGAGCGGACGGCGGTGAGCGGCGGCCAGTGCCGGGACGTCGCTGGTCGCAATCACACCCGGCGCGCCACGGGGCCAGGCGGTTGGCGTCTGCTCGCTGGAGGCGCCTGCTACCCTTTCCGCGCGGGCAGTGACAGGTGGACGCGGGTGGAAGGGGTCTGTTGGGGGACGGAGCTCCTCTGGACCGGCTGGTGATGTCTTTTTCCTCGTGCGCGAGCGGCCGCGTCAGATGGCACCTCAGATGGTGCCGAGCAGTCATTGGTAGCAGACCAGACGCGTTGTACATATGTATTCGCCGCTTGTGGAACATGACGCGTCTGCACAGCGCCCATCCACTTGTTGCCTTTCAGCTTACGTACCGGCGCCGCGGTCAGTGGCGCGTTGGGCGCTTGGCAACCACCCAGTGGAGATCTCTTTGACTATCTGTTTGGTCAACAGGGGATTTCGTAAATGTGAAAAGTGTTCTGGAATGACGGCCATGCTTGCTCCGCTGTGCGCCATTTTATTGACGTTTTTCAACATTGCCGGGATTCGCGCTACTAAACATCTAATGACAGCGCCCGCGCTATTGGATGTTTGTGATATACTGATGTGCTTCCGTCACGGATTCGTAGTGGCCGCCGTGCCCCCGTCACGTGTCGGTGACCCGCTGTTGTGGTGCTGCCTCGCGCCCGAGCCAGCGCCGCAGACCCGTCTCGTGTGTACGGCGCCCCGTGCTAACGTAGTCCGCACGCTGTTCCAGATCAAGTACGCGCTGCTGGACGAGCGCGACATCAGCCTGGTGCAGCAGTACGTGTTCGAGGCGCGCCTGGAGATCGACCGCAACGGCAACGGCGCCAGCATCTTCGCCTGGTGCTACGACATCAGCCGGGGCCGGAGCTCCGGCCAGTACGTCCACGCCATGCTCTGGTGAGGCCGCCGCTCCGCCCGGCGAGGCGGCGTCACCAGCGGCGCCACCAGCTGCGTCCGCGTCCGCTAGCCAGTCGGGCGCCGAGCGATTTGTCCGCAGTGCGGTGCTCGTTAGCAGGCGGCGGCCGGCTTGCGTCCTGTCAGCTGGCGCTGGGAGAGGCCGGACTGGGGTCGGCGCCGGCCTGCTCCTGGGGCCGACGCTCCCGGGAGTCCGGTCAGCCGCGCCGGTCCGCGCGCACGGCCGGGGCGGCGGACGCGGTGGCCGCCGGTCCCATCACTCGCCGCGGCAGTCTGGCTCTGCGCGGCGCCCGTGCGCGGAGCGGGCCCGGAGGCTGAGTGGGCCTCCGGGTTGGTGTGGGTCGCGCGAAGCTGAGCTGGGCGTGAAGCTTCGTCCATAGACGGTAATGGCATGGCTACGGACAGAAGGAATAACTCGGTGAAAACCGTGCCACCATTGATCAGAACACCGCAGTCCCGGTCCCGCAGCGAGGCACAGACCGGAGCAGCGCCCCGCACCTCCGTATGTACGCCCGGGTTAGACAACCACATACCAATCAAATCCATCCGAGCGCGCATAACAGGAAAGGGAGTGCGCGCGTTACCTCAGTCCGGAGTATCACACGGCGGCGCCGCCGCCCGGAAGGCCGCTGTTCCGGCGGCGCCGCTGGCCGCTCCGGCCGCTGTGTACGCGCCGCCGCGGTCTAATTGCCGGCCCGGATGCCGGTAATGGCCGCCTGGCCGGCTACTGGCGAGCTGGCCGGGCGCACCCGCCGGCCTGGTGCCGGCTAGGACTGGGGCTAGGCCTGTGGTGGCGCTCTGACCACGCTGGCGCCAAACCAGAGCCGAGAGTGGGATCACACACATGGCCGGACTGAGGCCACACTCGGGGTGGTGTGGGACTGAACACGCTGACAGGCGTGGGCTGGGCCGTTGACCGAACGCGGTGGGTCCACTTCGCTGCGAAATCAAGTCTAAAGGTCGATGCTTCAATCGAAGCTCTGTTTTTTTGTGGGGAATTTTATCGCAGTATCTGCAATTGTAAGAAGTCTGTTAAGAATGAGTCATTTCACCGCAAGCATCTTAAACATCGATCTTGATGATAATTCTTGATCTTGATGATCACGTGCGCAGCAGGTCTTTGTAACCAGTCTGACAAAGACTTGTTCGAAGTCGGGATTGTAGACCCGCTTAGATGCCGATGCTAGCAGCAGAAATGGCAACGTATTTTAAGACAAAGACGTGCCCCCCCCCCCCCTCATTGGCAATGCAGTCTGGCTTGTGTCAGCGCACAGCGTGTTAGCAATCTTGCAACATGACATGCACGTTTGCTTGTCTAGTTCCTGCTCTGGAAACTAAGCTGTCCCGTGTACGGTTTGCTGTTATCGTGGCGGAATAGACAGGTGCTGCATTGTGTTCATCTGCTGTGTCGGTGCTCTGCGAGTGGCCTGCTGTGCTCTGACGTGTGTCCCGCCTTGCGCTCCCTGAGTTTTGCTTTGGATGTGTGTCCCGAGTCCCGCTGTGTGCCGCTGCGTTGCTCTGGTCTGTTTTGGATGTGTGTCCCGAGTCCTGCTGTGTGCCGCTGCGTTGCTCTGGTCTGTTTTGGATGTGTGTCCCGAGTCCTGCTGTGTGCCGCTGCGTTGCTCTGGTCTGTTTTGGATGTGTGTCCCGAGTCCTGCTGTGTGTCGCCGTGTTGTGTTGGTCTGTTTTGGATGTGTGCTCCGTTAGTGTTGCTTCGTGCCGCCGTGCGTTGCCATGTGTCCCGGGGTGCTGTCGCTCCGTGCCCCGAGATGCTCCTGCATGCTACTGTGTGCTGCGCTGTTCCCCTGAGTAACGCCCGAGTGCTGCACTGTTCCCCTGAGTGCCGCCCGAGTGCTGCACTGTTCCCCTGAGTGCCGCCCGAGTGCTGCACTGTTTCCCTGAGTAACCTCCGAGTGCTGCACTGTTCCCCTGAGTGCCGTCCGAGTGCTGCACTGTTCCCCTAAGTGCCGCTGCGCGCCGCTGAGCGCTGCGCTGGGCCCATGTGCGATGGCTCCGCCGCTGCGCGGTGCCTTGCGTCGAGCGGCGCCGCTGGCGCTGCGACTCTGCTCAGTGCGCCGCGCCGTGGCCGCGGGACTGGCTGACGCTCGGATGACGCCCGCCAGGGAGCGCTACTGCGGCGGCGTGGCGCCCGGCTGGAGGGTGGCGCACCACAACGGCATCACGGTCGATAACCGGCTGGAGAACCTGCAGCTGGTGCGCGACCAGGCGCGGCTGCCGGCCGGCCGAGCCCAGCAGCCGGCCGGCAAGTCAACCTTGGCACGACCACCGCTTGACAACACCATCTACTGGCGCGCCATGCAACAACTGCCTGCCGACGTCACCGAGGTGAGGCGACACCTGCTACGGCGGCCACAGTGTACTGCTGTGTGCCGACAGACGGTGGACCCATCGATAGGCGGTTGATGTTGCCATTTGTTTGGTAGGCGGCCGCGGCACCCGCCGGTTTTGGAGTAGTGAGGCGCAGCACCCTATGCCGATGTGAAGCGTGCCCACGTCGGCTCATGCTCTGGCGTATCTGATGCTGGCTGCGGTGGATGGAGCCTGCGGAACACCCAGTTGTAAACTGACGCGGCTGGCGCTGTTGGCGGTGACGGATGTTAGCGTGATCGCCGCTTGGACTCGCGGAGCTCGATGCCGCGCCCGAGCCATTCCCGGTCGCGGTCCGAGCTGGCCCGGACCCGGGCCCGGCCAGACACCGCTGTAATCACCCACCGTCGTGATATATGGGCCCGGAATTCTGATCAGACTGCACCGAACAAAAAAGAAACCTTCTCCCATGGACGCACCTATTTCGCAAATGTATCCCTTTCTTCCAACCCTGAAAGAAAACGTGGCTAACATGCCAATCCGCACCGCTCGGGAGATCTGCCGAACCCAAGCGGCTGCAGTTGTCGAGCCTAAAGCTCCCGAACCGCCATGTAACGTCACATGACCGGCCGGTGCCGACCAGCGCCGCGGGCGGCGGTACCTGCCGGTGCTGCGCGCCGCGCTGCCCTGCGGCCGTGCCGGCGGGCCGCCGGGCAGGCAGCCGTGACTTGGCCGTCACGGCCGGCGGCTGGCGGCGCCTGAACCCGGCAGCGAGCCTTCACCCCGTCACGGCGGCGCGGCGCCGTCCCCCGGCCCGGCCCGGCCCGGCACGGCACCGGGCGAACCCTCTGTTTGTGTCGGCGGCGCGGCAGCAGCCGAGGGGAGGCGAGGCGCGCGCCGCGGCTGGCGGCGGACGGCCGGGACTCGCGTGCCGCGTCGGCGGTAGGGACGGCGCGGCGCGGCGTGGGCTCCGTTCGGATTGACCGGTGCGGCGGGGACGGGGACGGGGACGGGGACGGGGACGGGGACGGGGACGGGGACGGAAACGGCGACGGCGACGGCGACGGCGACGGCGACGGCGACGGAGACGGAGACGGAGACGGAGACGGAGACGGAGACGGAGACGGAGACGGGGACGGGGACGGGGGCGGGGACGGAAACGGAGACGGAGACGGAGACGGAGACGGAGACGGCGACGTCGACGAGGACGGGGACGGGGCGGGGACGGGGACGGGGACGGGGACGGGGCGGGGACGGGGACGGGGACGGGGACGGGGACGGGGACGGGGACGGGGACGGGGACGGGGGCGGGACGGGGACGGGGACGGGGACGGGGCGGGGACGGGGACGAGACTCCGCTCCGAGTTTGCGCCATGCACGGGGCTGGACGGGTTTTATGTGTTGTAATTGATGGCTGGGCCGTTTTGATGCAGTCATGTCTCAATAACATCATGTCACGCAGAGCGAACGGAACGGCAAAACTTCGCGCGACATCACAGCGCTGAACTTGCAGATGAAAGCATTCCGCATCCCTGCTGAACAAGTACGAGCAATTAATTTGCTTCCAGGTGGTCGCCATTTCGTCCCTACTGTTCTTAATGACGGATTAACATGCGGGGCCGCAGGAGGATGCGGTACCTCCATGTCCATGGTTTTTCCTTAAAGAAACCTCGTCAAGGGCATTTGTGGTAGCTTCACGCGGGGTACCATGTGTCAATGGAGGGGCAGCGGTGCCGGTGTCGGACGCCCGTCACGGCCTTGCCTGTCGGCGCTCCCGGCCGGGCAGGGCTGTGGTGGGATACCGACGGCTGCGGCCAGTGATGGCTGCTGTCACCAGATCGCACGCTCCCCGTCGAGAACAGCTGATACGACCGGCAGCGTCTGCGCCGACCAGTGCTGCACGTGCTGGTGCTGGTACCAGCGCTGAGGTCTTGGTGGGCCTGGATGGCGTTTGGTGCACCAGGCGGCAGCACGCGTCCACGGGCCAGCGCAATCAGCCTCGTGCACGTCTGTAAATAGAAAGATTGGCGGGCCGGGGCCACCGTGATGGGTCAGGCTGAAACACGCCAGCTGTCATGGGCCAAGTTTAAGCGGGCTGGCTTTGATGTGTCCGATCGGGGGACCGCTGGCGCGCCACATTTGCCGACGCTGAAGGGCTTAAAAGGCCGTCAGCCTTATTGGTGACGCGGCTTGCCATATGAACGTAATTTATGTGATGGCAACCCCAGCTTGGTTCGGTACGGGCAATGAAAGGCGTTTTTTCGTGGTGTCTGAAGTCGTGGCGTCCACATGCCGAAAACAGATGGCCGGGTTGCTCTGAGAAACGCACGCCCTGGTGGATGCGCATGAAGACGCCGGGACGACTTTATTCGCGCTGTCGGCACGCTTCTGGAAGCTGTCATTGATAATGTGATGTGTAGCAGGGTCTTCCGTGAGCCGGGAAGTGGCCTCTCGGAGTTTGATGGAGCAATCTTCATCCGTTTTGGTCCAATAACGCTCGAAGCAGTCGACATCGGTCGCGTTCCCCGTGCGACACGAGGCGTATCATCAGCGGGGTATTCTACGCCAGGTTCTTATGTGCCGGTACTCACCGGGGCCTTGACTTCAATATGAAGTGCGTCCTAAAACGGCGTCAACAGCTGACATGCGGACCACGAGACGGCACCGGCGCCGAGGTGGGCCGTTGCTGCTAGACTGTCCGCGGGCTGGTGGCGCACGTTGTGGCGGGACGGTGTGCGTTGCTGAGCAGGAGTGCTGCGCCGACCGGCGGCTGCGTATCTGTGCCGGCGACCGCTGTGTTCTGAGCGTCGCCATGTCTGGGGGCACCGCGCCCTGTGGGACGAGGGCTGGCTGACTGACAGCGCCCACTCCTGCGCCTCCCTCAGCACCCGCCCTCCTGCCCTCTGGTGGCCACGCTCGACGGCAATGGCGACTCGGCCGAGGAGGAGTGCATCTACTACGAGTGCAAGAACCCGCCGTGCACGCGCATCGAGCGGGAGGTGCGCGAGTTCAGCATCTGCGGGCCGCTGTCAGGTGAGTGGGCGCTCCTCGCGGCGGCAGCCGGCCCGCGGGCCGGACGCGGGTGCCAGTGTTGATCCGTGGCGACCGCTGGCCGCGATGCAGTGCATGCGTTCATGCTCATTTGTTGCCTGGTTATTGCAGTGTTGCAGATTGCTCGTCCATTTGCGCGGAGCTTCAGACCTGTTCAGTAGCATGTCCAAATCGGTAAGCGTTTTGTGACGGCTGATGGTGACCGAGCGGTGTCAGGTCACACCTGTCCTCGTGTAAACCCGTGTTTGTGTCAGTGCAGCCCTGTTTGTCTGTTTTTTCTTGGTTTCCTATTGGACTTGGTCCTTCGTAACCCTACAGCTGTCTTTGTCTTGCCCGTGTGACGCGTCTTGGTCCGTAGCTCCTGCCACAGGTGTGGACGGTGGGCCGGGCCGCCATCCCACCCTCAGTCTGGGTGTCTTAACCAGTTGTATGCTGAGTCCGTGTCTGGTGTTTGAACCAGCCGTGGCTTCAGGTCCGTTTTCTGGTCCGCTGTCTGACCAGCCGTGACCTTAACCCGTGTCTGGTGTCTGACCGGCCGGGACCGGTCATGACTTCCGTCCGTGCTGATCTATTGTCTGACCAGCCGTGGCCTCGGTCCATGTCTGGGTGTCTGACCGGCCGTGACCCTCAGTCCATGTCTGGTCGCTGTCTGACCAGCCGTGACCTTAATCCGTGTCTGGTGTCTGACCAGCCGTGACTTCAGTCCGTGTCTGATCTGCTGTCTGACCAGCCGTGACCTCAATCCTTGTCTGGTGTCTGAGTGGCCGCGACCTCAGTCCTTGTCTGGTGTCTGACCAGCCGTGACCCTAATTCGTGTCTGGGTGCCTGAATGGCCGTGACCTTAGTCCGCGTTTGGGTGTCTGACCGGCCGTGACCGCTCCTCAGACGGCGCGCCTAACTGCGGCACCATCTGCCAGCAGCGCGACTGGCCGGCCCATAAAAAGTTCTGTCGCGAACGCAAGCGCTACGTGCTGGGCGAGCGACCCCCGGAGCGCTTAGGCCTGGCCAACTACGCCGTTCCGCCACTACATAACACCGTTTGTGCCGCTCGCCGTGCGACCGACGCGCGGCCCTGCGCAACCATCAGATCTCAAGGCTTCATCACCGCCATCTAGCGTACTGACCGCCGAACTAGCGCTATAGGTGGCCGGCGAACCAGCGACTCGCGTGTCGGCATGCCGGCCGCCCGAAAAAGACGTTAGTGCTCAATGGTGTCGTGTTAGCGCAGCCGCGCCGTGCCCGGGCGGGCGCCTCGGGCTGCGCCGAGCTGATACGGTTGGGCGTCCGGGGCTCCCCGGCAGGGTTGGGAGGCGCTGCACGGTCACCGCAGAAGCCCAAAGACTGGTGGTCAGTGTGAGGCGTGACGTCATGTCCCGTCCGTATGTGGTAATAACTCGGTGGCGCGTCCTGAAGACAGCGCGCCCGTCCCAGCTGAAGTGATCTTCACCACTGTCTGGCTCTGCAGCGCGGCAGGTAGCGAGGTCGCGTTGCTCCCGCAGGCGGCATTCCGCGAAGGGGCGACGCGAAGCGCCTCCATTCCTGGCGTCCTCTCCGACCTCGAGCATTCCACTTGCTTTGAGTGGTGCTGGGCGCGCGCCGCCCACATCTGTGGCCGGGTTCGGACCACAGCAGTGCCCATGCTGGCGTGCCCGCGTCCACGGCTTGTTACTCATCGCGTGCCTGTGATGCCGGCAGATATTCGTGAGCGGTCCGCACCAAACCAGGTGTGCGTGGCCCGCGGGCGTACGCACGGGCTGGGGCATGTGTGCGGCTTGTGTGTGCGTATGTGCGCGTGCATTATATGAATAGGTCGCTCACGGGTGCGAGAGGGAACCATGACATTCCAGTGGTCACCGCCGACCGGGGTGCGCGGCCTCTCTTGCCACGCCCGCCGCTACCAGCCGGGGTAGGCTCTGACACAGCTCCACGTGGTGCAC